CTGTTCTATACAATGGCTGTGGCTTGGGGAATGGCAATCTTCCCTTGTCCTGAGAGTAAGGGTGGCTTATGGTTTTTGGGGTAACGGTACCTCGTGGATGAGTCCCTGAGCCCCTCCCAGCTACTGAGATTGTTTTGCCAATTAGTAGCTTTAACCTAAACCTTTCTAATGCTTATCTATATAATCCCCAGTAGGAGAAGTGAATGTAGCATTCTTTATTGACATTTTCCAGGAGGGTGGGGTGAGTCTAATGGGAGTAATTCCTGTTCATAGCTGCCGCCTTACGCAGCTGCCGCCTTAGTGGATCCGCATTCTTTCAAGATTATTGTAAAAGTTATAGTAAGGCTGGGGGTGCCTTTATGGGGTATTAGGGTACAGCAATAAGGCCCATGGCAGAGGAATTGAGTGCAGGGTAGTACAACAACACAGTGGAGGATTAGAACTCAAAAAACTGTTGACCTTGCAGACAGTTCTCCTCAGCCGAGTCCTTGCTCTTTAGGCATGAGGGGCAGTTCTTTCATACTCAGCTTGTGTTAACTGCATGGTCCCAGCATATTGGAATGCTTTTTAGTTTATTCTCTTGTCTAATATTATTGGCTAGAACTTCCAGTACTATCATGTTGGGTAAAAATCTCTTTATAATCTAAAAGATGTATAGTGATCGAATGTATAAAATAATAATAAGAATAACTTTAAAAAATAGAGATAATGATTTTTGTATATTTATTTTGTATCCTGCAATTTTGCTGAATTCATTTATCAATTCTAAGAGTTTTCTTTGTATTACTTATTTTTTTCTGTGTATATGATCTGCAGTTAACTTCCTCCTTTCCGATTTGGATCTCCTTAATTTCTTTCTCTTGTCTAATTGCTTTAGCTAAGACTGCTAGTACTATATTGAACTGGAATGGGAAAACTGAACATCCTTATCTTATTCCAGTTCTTAGAGGAAACACTTTTTAACTTTTCCCCATCCAGTATGAAGTTGGCAGTGTGAAGATAATATACAGTCTTTATTATTTTGAGATGTGGACCTTCCATACCTAGTTTGTTGAAATTCTTAATCATTAAGCAATGTATTTTATTAAATGTTTTTCTGCATCAATTAATATGATCATATGGTTTTCATCTATCTTTTTTTTTTGATGTGATATATGGAAAAATAGCTAAAATAAAAGTGGAGTCATATGTATTAATCCTGCTTACGCCGAGCTGAGAAGGACAATGGAGAGGATATTTTTCTCATGGAAGTATTCCTGATAATAAGAACTGTCACAAAGACTCTGCCAGAAACACAGTCTTGCAAAGACTAGTGCAATCTGATATGAGGACAACATTTGTGAGCTGCTCAGAAACCATCTGTCCAAGTGAAAACAACTGATATCAATGATAATGCCAATCACGAAGGGTGGTATTAGCTTGCTGTTATTGCTGATCTCAAAGCAATGATGTAACCTTTTTTCCTCTTGTGGATTGGGCTTTAAAATCAGTAATATCCTGGTACTCATTTCAGGGTAACTTAGATATTGTGGTACCTGGGTGTTGTTCTCAAACCTAGTCCAAATAAACTCTCTTTACTTTACGTGCTTTGCTTTTACCCTTTGCATGGGTTACGTGCTACCCTTTTAGGTTGAAATGTATCACATTTATTGACTTGTGTGTGTTGAACCATGCTTGTGTCAGGGGATAAATCTTACTTGATCATGATATGTAGTCTTCTTGATGTGCTGTTGAATTTGGTTTTCTCATATTTTGTTGAGGATTTTTTTTCCATCTATGTTTGTTAGGATTAGTGGTCTGTAGTTTCATTTTTTTGTTGTTGTATTCTTGACTGTTTTTTGGTATCAGAGTAGTGGTCACCTCATAAAATGAGTTTGGGAGGATTCCCCCCTCTGGGTCTTTCAGAATAGGTTGAGAAGAATTGCTGTTAGTTCTTTTTTACAGTATTTGTAAAATTCATTAATGAAACCATCCAGACCTAGGTTTTTCTTTGGATATTTTTTACTACTAAATCAGTCTTGCTTCTTTTTATTGGTCTGCTCAGTCTTTCTGTTTCTTCCTGGTTCAGTCTTAGTAGACTGAGTGTATGCTTTCAGGAATTTATCCATCTCTTCCAGGTTTCCCAGTGTTGGCATATAGTTGTTTGTAATTCTTTATCATGATTTTTGTATTTTTGTGGTGTCAGTTGTAATTCCTTTTTTCATTTCTGGTTTTACTTCTTTTGGATCTTTTCTTTTTTTCCTTAGGCTAGTTAGTAGTTTGTCAATATTGTTTATCCTTTCAAACGAACAGCTTTTTGTTTCACTGATTAAAAATACATGTATTTATTCATTTTCCTCAAGCGTGACACAGATGGAGTGAGTAAGAAGAAGAGGAAGACAGCACCCCCTACAGGGTCTTGATGCCATGATCCATCCTCAGTCTTCAGCCAGGCCCAGATTATGAGCAATGGTGTATCTGGGATACTTAAGGAAATTGATAGATTGAAGCAGGAACCTTTTCATATGGGATTACCAAGTAGAGCACTGCGTTTTACCACTGGACCACCATTTGACTTCTCATTTCACTGATTTTTTTTTTTTTTGGTGTGTGTGTGTGTGTGTGTGAATTTATTGGCATCTATTCCATTTATTTATGCGCTGAGATTTATTATTTTGTTCCTTCTCCTACTTTTGGTGTTACTTTGTTCACTTTTCTAGTTCATTAAGATGTATCGTTAGATTTTTAATTTACCAACCTTTCTTTTTAAAATGTAGTCACTCATTGCTTCAAACTTCCCTATTAGTACTACTTTCACTGTATCTCATAGGTTTTGGTGTATGGTATTTCAATTTTCAATTGGTTCAAGAAAATTTTAAAATTATTTCTTAATTCCTTCATTGATTTCATAGTCACTCAGGAGCACATTCTTCAGTTTCCATATATTTGTATATTTTCCACAATTCTTATTGTTGATCTCTAGTTTTATTCTATTATGGTTTATAAAGATATCTGGTATGAATTATATTTTTAAAAATTCTTGACAATTACTTAATGGCCTAATACATGATCAGTCCTGAAGAATATCCCATGTGCTGATAAGAAGATTGTGTATTCTGTGGCTATTGGGTGAAATGGTCTATAAATCTCTGTCAGGTCCATTTAGTCAATGCTGCAGTTTAACTCCAATAATTCTCTGTTGATTTTCTGCATAGATGACCCATTCACTATAAGACTGGGATGTTGGAGTCCTCAACTGTTATTGTGTGTCTATCTTTTCTTTTAGGTCTAGTAGCATTTGTTTTATATATTTGGATGCCCCAGAATTGGGTGCATATATATTTATAATAGTTTAGCCAATTACTTAATTCATGCCTTCACTTTATAATCACCTACTCTCTCTCTTTTTAAACCAATTTTGTTTTGGAGTCTATTTGATCTGATATCCTGCTCATTTTTATTTCCATTGGCATGATATATCATTTCTATCTCTTCACTCTCATTCTCTGTGTCTTTTGAGACTTCCTTGTAGGCAAAATACAGTGGGATCTGTTTTTGTTTCGTTTGTTTGTTTTTTAAAGAGATTTTTGCCTTAGGGCACGTGCGCTGTGGCAGACATTGAGAGTGCCATCCCTCGGGGCCATGGCCATACTGCAATCTTCTTCATTTTCCCTCCAGGATCTTGGGCATGCACATATACATGTCTGGTGTGAGTTTCAAGCCACCAGGTCTGGGACTCAGACTGCTGTTGGCTCTATGGGAGTCCAAAGACATAACTGATACACATCTGCTGGCTCCTGTTTATTTTTAACCCATTCAACAAGGGATTGTGATTGGGGAGTCTAACCTGTTTACATTTAAGGTTATTACTGATTTGTTCACTGTTTTTTTGATTGTTTTGTGTTTATCTAGCTGCCAGGGTAGGATTCAAACTGCTGTCAACCATGTGGGTTATGTCTCCCTTTACTACTAGGTCATGAGACTGGCCTTGTTCTGGTAAATTTTGCTTCATATATTTTAGGGTTCTATTGTTAGGTATGCATATGTTTGTAATCACTATATAATCCTGAATAATTGACCATTTTTTGAATAGATAATGTCCTAATCTGAGATTTTAAGAGTGGATTTGTAAAGTTAAATAAAAAGATGTTCCCTTGGTTCCTTTGTAGATCACAGTTGGAAACATCGGAACACTCTTTAAGGTTCGTATTGGTCATACCAACTCTGGATGCTCCCCTTCTTGGCACTGTAAAGAGGTAAGGATATAGCAACACCTCCTCATTCTTTGCAAAATTCTCTGCAAATTCCTCTCAGGAATCACTTCCTGCCTTTATTGAGGTAATGGGAGTCGATCCTGGGTCTTTCTGGTCAGTATATTCCTGAAAGCAAGAATATCATATGATTATTAATTAATTCCTAATTGATTGAGAGAAGCGGCATGGTCAAATAATTCTTTCACTTCTTTGCAAAGAAAAGCAATTACTTGGGATTCTGGATAAACTAATACAGCTTCTTGATATGGTTGCACTACTGTGAAAAGAAGACTAGTGGTAAGGCATTTGCTTAAGAAAAGTTGTAAAGATGTACCATTGTGTTGTGAATTAATAATCTACTAGACTTCAATGCCAGCTCTGAAATTTAGTCTGCTCATGCTAAACAGGATAATGCTTCTTATGTATCTTTAGGAGCACAAACAAACAAACAAATAGCTAAATTGTTTACATTGTTAGGAATTTGAAAAAGTTTACTTATTACCATGATTGCCAGTAAATGCAGATCTCCAATATTGCAAATCATACAGCTAGTCATTAGTTTTTGTGTATGGTATATTTACATCTTCTGTCATTTGAAAATAAATGACCCTAACCAAACAAGTTCTGAAAATGCAGAGAACGTCTCGTATACTCCTGGTATTCTTAGCAAACTTGTGCTTCTACAGATTTAAAATGTGTGAGAAAATTAATGAAAAATTTATGGAAAGTATATAATTTTTTTAAAACAGAGTTTTAAATTCCATTAGCAGTAATATATAGTTGTTAATAATGACATTTATGTTGAAATCACAAAAGATTCTGAAGCAGAATGAAAAAATAAAACTCACTTAATAGAACTGTAGAGGTTGGGGCCAGCAGATGGCATGGTGGTTGAGGCACTGGTTTCCCACATGGCCAACCACAGTTTGAGTTCCAGAACCAGTGGCTTGAAAATCACACCAGGAGTGTGTGTGAATATCCAAAATCTTGAGAGGCAAATGCATGACAAGGGATTGTGGCAAGGCCATGCCCCTGCGGGGTGATTTCTCACTTTTGCTCACTCTATCTCTCTCCAGTATGTGCATGAACCCTACAGTAAAAACCTAAAACAAACAAGCAAACAAATGAACTCAAAGAGTTCTAGAGGTTGTATTTTAAAATTCTAAATTATTGCCTTGCTTCTATATGAAATAATGTTATCTTTTATACTATATAGAATTTTTGAAATATGATATTTAAGTCAATACTTATTAAATGATTATACAAATATCTTTTCCTTTGTTTCCTCTCCATAAGCTAAACTAACTTAAGAAAATGATCAATTCTCTTGCCATTTGATTTGATTGATAACTAATAAATAATATTACATCCATTATGAAGCTGGGATGCTGAGATAGTTGTTGATTTTTTACTGTGATAGTTTTTACTATGAAAAATTACATAGTATTGCAAAGGAATGATATAAAAGTAAGGATGAGGTCAGCAGGTAGCATGGTGGTTAAGGCACTGGACTCCCACATGGGTGACCACAGTTTGAGACCTGGGCCGTTGACTTGAAACTCACCCAGGGTCAGTATGCATGCATGCCCAAAATCCCAAGAGGAGAATGGATGAGAAGGGATTGCATGGTGATCCTCCCTTGGGGGTGATTTCTTGCTTCTGTCTCTCTGTCTCTTTGGCAAGTGCATATGCCCTGAAAAAAAATCAGGGTGAAAAATCCCTGTTGACTTTCTCGTTATGGCAAGGACTTGATCATACAAGGCACCTTGTTTGCATGAGATTAATCTCACCTCTTGTTGAGTACCACTGAGGAAGAAATGCATTTTTGAGTGAATTTTTATTGAGTATATATGACCCTTATCCATTAGGCCAAATTAAGACACTAGATAATAAGTTGGGAATTTTCTAATCAATTGATACTGTAGAAGTTTCGAATTTAAAATATTAAATAAGCCAACTTTGACCTGAAAGGTTTAACCTGAAGGGTTTCTTAGTGAAAGCCACTGACTCCGTAATCATAACAGTGATAAAAGAGTTTTGTAAAATAATCATGCTTTCGGGATCTTAATGTCTTCAAGATTAGTTAGAGAAAATTAAAAAAATAAAACATTTAAAACGCTGTTTATTTTGTGTTTCTCAAATGACCAGCTTTGGACAGATCAATTCAAATAGTCTTGGCAGTGGCAGCCTCACAAACCAATGGGTACTCTCCGTATTTCTTGGGAAACCTTTCTAACCGCAACATTGCACCACCAGAATCAAGCTTCATGTGTCTTTATTGATCTGAATTCCTGGACTTGTTTGAGACTCATAAACCTTAAGTAGGTTTGGGGACTGACTTCTTTAATAATGAAATTTGTTAAATGCATTAAAGTTGAACATCTCTGAATTAAGATATTTTAAGTAAGGTTAATTTAATAAAATAACAGCTCACTGAAGCATTTAAAATAAAAATAGTTCCCTACATATTACAGGCTAGCTTTTAGAATCAGAAAACAATTTATACCTTTGGTTGACATTTGACATTTTCAGTTTTTACCAGAGTTTATTGCATCCATGTTTACGTCCAGGATAAATGTACTAGATGCAGTATATGTCATAGGTGCCCAAATAAATAAATATTGCTTGAATTTTATTCCTTCCTAAGGACTTACTGAGAGACTTGTATCAGTTTGAACCTGTAGTGCGTAAAACCTAATCTGATGATGAAATCACTTCAAAATAAATTCACTTCTAAGAAGTTGCAATAGGGAAATAATAGATTTCTAAAAATTTCAAACAGGAAAATATTAATGATATAAAGTTTGGGAGGGAATTAGCATTTTGATATAAACCTTTCTAAATAGAGAAATAAACAATTTCAAAATAGAGGGGAAATATGACATTGTGTTTGAGATTATAGTAAAAGAAGAGAACCATTTTCTTGTCTAGAAATCAGTAATTTTTCATATACAAAAAGGAAATGGTTTCTGAGCTACTGGACAAAAGCTTTTATTTGACTCTCTGGTGAAGTATTTCTCCTTTCTTTTTTTTAGTAAGTAATATTGTTGCTATTGTAGATACAACTGCAGAACATGAACTCTGGAAATCAGTTTTATGTACCTGTTCAACGATGGCTGGCACAAGATCAAGAGGATGGGGAAATCTGTCGAGAGTTTCCCATTATAAATAAAGGACAGCCCATCCTTCCAGGTAGGAAGCTCAAATAAAACTCGTTTGACCAAATCCTGAAGGACAGGGAACCTGATAAATGCAGAGTAAGTAAATACATGAATCAATGAATGATTAAGGACTACTAGTTTTTATTGATCACCTCAGTTGTTATGGCACCTGCATCTGAAAGCATTTTAGTTGGTTCACACATTGGCATTTAGGAATATGTTCTTGTCAACAGTCCTGCAGGAAGGTCAGCTGAAATGCCATCTTATAAAACAATAAAATTAATTCATAGAAGCTTGTAAGAAAATTCAATGTCAGGCAGTTACTCCAGGGCTAAGAAAGTCAAATCAATATGCCCTTTTCCACAAGGCTCTACTTTGTTTTTGACAATGTATCTATTTGATAAGAAAATAAAAACACAACTACTCAATGATTTCCTAAACATTTGTCCAAGAGCAGAGATGTGTCCAAACCTTCTGTAAATATGGCTGAAAATAGACTCTTGATCTACTCAGGGTTAGGTAGTCACTGCTCCCTGCCATAAGAATTTAGCAGGACTTTGTCTATAGGAACTGAAAAGATGTAATTATAGACCATCAACAGCCTTCACTAAAGGTGGATACATCAGTTGTAGGTAATACAAATAAGGAAAACTGGATTAGTGTCTTTTTTTTTTTTGGTATACCTTTTCCCTTTAAATTCATATTGAGTTACGGTAGTATTGTCATTCAAGACAGAAGGAACTCAAAGTGTTTGCCTGGTTTATCTGTATAGTGTCAACTCTACCTAGAAAAATATGTTTTGTAATTTTTTTCCTCAAAGGATAAGGGTTGCTAAGAAAATGGAGCAGCAGTAGGCTCTCTCAAGTTGTGTAAGCTATTTTATTTATTTTAATTGTGGTAACTAACATAAACATTACATTTATCATATCAGACATATTTAAGTGTACAGATCAGTAGTGTCAAATGTATTCACATTGTTGCTGAACAGATCTGTAGAACTTTTGCCTTCTTACAAAACTGAAATTTATATCCAATAAATGGTAATTCCTCCTCTCTCTGTTACCCATACATTGGTAACCACTTACTCCCATTTAAAAAATATTTAACTACTCGTGCGAGTATAGCCATACAGTATTTGTCCTTTGTGAATGAGTTATTTCACTTAGGGTAATGCCTTGAGATTTATCCATGATATAACATATAATATGATTTTCTACTTATTAAAGGCTGTATAATACTCCATTGTAGTATATACCACAATTTCTTTATTCATTCATCTGGCAATGGACTTTTGGGTTTCTTCCACCTACTAGCCATTGCAAGAAATATTGCAGTAAACATGGTTGTGGAAATATGAATATCTCTTTGAGATCATCCTTTGAATTCCTCCTTTGAATATATACACAAATGGGGTTGCTGGATTATGTGGTAATTCTGTTATTAATTTTTTTCAGGGACCTCTATACTGCTTTCCATAGTTTCATTATCTGTTCCTACTGTCTGTACAGAAGAGTTCCCAATTCTCTACATTCTGCCTAATACTTATTTTCCGTTCTGTTAATGCCAAACATCCTTATGGGTGAGATATTTTTTCATTGTGTTTTTTAAAGCATTTGTCTAATAATTGATGATGTTGAATTTTCATATGCTTATTTGGTCATTTAGATATATTCTGTGTAGAATTCTCTATTCAAGACCTTTGCCTATTTCTTATTTGCATATTTGTTGTTGAATTGTAGAAGTTCCTTATGTTTTCTGTGTATTAACTTCTTATGAGATATACAAAGGGTCTTCAAAGAGTTCACAGAAACCATGTATTAGAAAATACATAGTAAAAAATTATACATAGATTTCAAAAGATTATTTCACCAAAATAAACTTATACTTGAACTTTCTGTGAACTTTATGAAGATTTTATGAACTTTTTGAAAACCTCTTGTTTGATTGGAAATATTTCTTGTAATTTCATGGGCTCTCTCTTGATTGTTTCCTTTGTTGAACAAAAGTTTTGAAGTTTGGGACCAGCAGTTAGCGTAATGGCTATGTTGCGGAACTCCCATGTAGTAGACCGCGGTTCGAGTCCCGGACCTGGTGGCTTAAAACTCATGCCGGGTGTGTGTGCGTGCATGCCCAAGATCCTGAGAGGAGAAAGGAGCAGGGATTGCAGCATGGTCATCCCTCCTTGGGGGGTGATTTCTCGCTTTCTGTCTCTCTGTCTCTCTTTGTCTGTCTGGCGAGTGCACATGCCCTATAGCAAAAACCTCTTTTGCAATAAAAGAAAAAACAAAGTTTTGAAGTTTGATGTAGCCCTGTTTATTTGCTTTTGTTGACTTAGGTGTATTACACCTAAGAAATCATTGCTAAATTTGTATTCTAAAGCTTTCTCTCTGTGTTTTCTTCTAGGAGTTTTTGTTTGTTTGTTTGCCACAGGATGCATGTGCTCACCAGGGAGACAGAGAGAGACAGAGACAGGGGAAGTGAGAAATCACCCCGTAGGAGGTTGGCCATGCTGTATCCCCTTCTCCTCCATTCTCCTATCAGAATTTTGGGCACACATTTGTGCCCAGTGTGATTTTCATGCCACTGTGTCTGAGATCCTAACTGTGGTTGACCATATGGGAATCCAGAGCCTTAATCACCATGGTACCTGCTGGCCTTTTTTCTAGGAGTTTTATGGTTTTGGGTCTTACATTTAGACCTTTAATCTGTTTTTAGTTAATGTCTGTATATGGTGTAAGATAAGGGTTCAATTTCACTCTGTAAATAGTCAGTTTACCCAACACCATCAGCTGAAGAGACTGTCCTTTGTCCATTGTGTAGTCTCGACTCTCTTGAAATCATTTGACCATTTACTCCAGGGTTTATTTCTGGGCTTTCTATTCTATTCTGTTGGTCTCTCTGGCTTTATGCCAGTACTATCAGTAAATTGTCATTATTACTATTACCTTGTACTATGGTTTGAAATCAGGAAATGTGAAGCTTCTAACTCCATTCTTCCTTTTCAAGGTAGTTTTGACTATTGACTATTCGGGGGAGGGGGTCTCTTGACATTCTGTGTAAATTTCAAGATTTTTTTTTTTTATTTCTGTGAAAATAATCAGGATTTTGATTGGGATTACATTGACTCTGTGCATTGTTTTGGATAGTATGGACATTTTAATAATAGTAAACCTTCCTTTCCATCAACATGGATTGTCTTTCCATTTACTTGTACTTTATATAGTTTCCTTTAACAATAGTTATAGTTTATTATTTTTATTAATTATTTAGTTTATATTTATTATTTTATTATTTTAAAATTTGCTATAGGGCATGTGGACTCACCAGAGAGAGACAGAGAGAGAAAAAGAAAGAGAGAAAGTGAGAAAGTAAGCCACCAGGTCCAGGACTTGAACCATGATTGTCCATGTGGGAGTTCAGTGCCTTAACCGCCATGCTACCTGCTGGTCCGAACAATATTTGTAGTTTTTAGTATACAAAACTTTTGCTACCTTGGTTAAATTTAGTTCTAAGGTTTTTTGTATACTTTTGTAAACGCAATTGCTTTCTTAATTTTCTTTTTGAATTTTTCATTTTTAATGTGTAGATATGCAATTGTTTTCTCAGTGTTAACCATGTTTTAACAATTTTTGTGTGTGTGTGTATGTGTGTGGAAACTTTGAGGTTTTTACATAAAAGATTATGTCTAGTAACAGATCATTTTACTTTTTCCATTCCAACTCAGATGCCTTTTATTTGTTTTTCTTGTCTGATTGCTTTAACTACAACTTCCAGTACTATACTGAATAGAAGAGTTAAAAGGAATTATTCTCTTGGTTTTGATTTTAGAAGAAAAGCTTTTCATCTTTCACAACTAAGCATTTTGTTAGTTGTGGGCTATTCATATGACCTTTATTTTGTTGAGGTAGTTTCCTTCAATTGTAGTTTATTGATAGTTTTTTTTTTTTATTTCAAGAAAGGATATTAACCTTTAAAACTAGTTTCTCCGAATCAGTAATCTGATTATATGTTTTTTTTTCCTTTCATTGTGTTAATATGTATATTGCATTCATTGATTGTTACATGTTGACTCATGCTTGGCATGTCCTAATATAAATCCAGCTTGATCAAAATAAATGTGCTGAGGATAGGGACAAACTTAGGCATATAAAATGCCCCAAATTTTACTGTTGGTTCTGACTACCAGTTTCTTCTTGCCTTTGGACCCACGTGGGTGTAAGAACCTCTTAACTGGTTTCTGAAGTTCTTGGGCAAATTGTTCCAGGTATTATTAAGAGTATGTCTCCATGGGAGATTGTGGCTCTAGGTCTTTATTTTGCACCATTTTGCCGATTTCCTATAAGGGTTTTTATTTTTAAAATTATTTGTATTATTTTTTATTATTTTTCATACATTAAATCACTATACATCATTTAGATTGTGAAGAGACTTTACCCAGCATGATATACACCTCAGTCCATCCCAGTTGAGAGCACCACACACATCTTTGTCAACAGATAATAAACCCTATCTGTGTCCCACAAGTGTCTTACATCTCCATTTCCCCCCCAAATTTCCTATGCTTTTTCCCTCCCACATTCTCTTTCCACTTTGTCTCTAGTATCCATTACAATTTTTAATACTTTTATGTTCTCCAGTTTTTCAGTCTCTACCATAGAGTGCAGACAGTAGGTATATATTAAGTGGAGACATACAATGTCTCTCTTTCGTAGCCTGACTTGCTTACTCAGCAATGTATCTTCCATATTTGTCCACTTTCTATCAAATTCCAAGGCCTTGTTGTATTTTTAGGGCTGAATAGTATTCCATGGAGTATAGGTGCCACAATTTTTAAATCCATTCATCTGTTTGTGGACATTTGGGTTGGTTCCATGTCTTAACAATCATGAATAATGCTGCAATGAAAATAGTTGTGCACAGCTGAATATGTCAAGTAATTAGGAAGACTAATTACATATTACATATTTTCTTACATATTTGTCTTCTAAAATCTTATGTGGAAAATAAAAGGACAGCTCCTCTGATTAGAGTAATACAAAGGTGATAGTCTACTGTCTGATCCCTCTCCCCATGTTTTCTCTCCAAATTTACGATATTAGTTATTTGGTTTTACAAAGAAGAAAAACAAAATTTGGGGTACAAAAATAATGGAGAGGGACCAGCAGTTAGCGTAATGGCTATGTCACTGGACTCCCATGTAGTCGACTGTGGTTCAAGTCCCAGACATAGTGGCTTAAAATCACGCTGAGCGCGTGCATGCCCAAGATCCCAAGAGAATGGAGGAGAAAGGATTGTGTCGTGGCCATCCCCCATGGGGGGTGATTTCTCCCTTTGTCTCTCTCTCTCTGTTTCTCTCTCTGTCTTTCTAGTGAGTGCACGAGTCCTATTGCAAAAACCTCTCCCCCCCCCCCCCCCAAAAAAAAATGGAGAAAAGTTATTCATCTTTAGAGGAGGAGTGCCAACTCTATTATTACTGCTTATAAAACTTTTTCTTATATGAGTTGAGGAGAGATTGGGGTATGTGTAAATAATGCTGATGTGAACATTCAAAAGGCAAAGTTGGTGCAGGAAGGCAGTACCCAGAACTCTGAATCAAACTCTTTTCGCCTCTTTTTCTGGAACTCATGCCACAGATATTTCACGGTTTGCTATTGTTCCACAGGTCTCTGTGGCTATGTTCATTTTTCTTTTTTTAAGCTTTTTGCCCTAGGGCATGTGCACTTGCTAGAGAGGAGAGAAACAGAGAGAGACAGTGAGAGAGAAAGTGAGAAATCACCCACTAGGGAGGGAATGCACATCTAAATCCCTGCTCCATTCTCCTCTCGGGATTTTGGGAATGCACACACACGTTAAAGTATTTCTCTTTGTTGTTAGTTTGGGTTATTTTTGTTTATGTATCTTCAAGTTCATCTATAGTTTTCTCTTTCCTCTTCATTCTTCTCTTGGCTATTCAGTGAGTTTTTAAAGCTGTTTATAGTACTTATTTTCAGTTTTAAAATTTCCATTTGATTCTTCTTTAAATTTTCTATTATTTGCTAAGAATTTGTACTTTTCAATTAGTTTTATAAGTGATAATGACTGTTTGTAGTGACAATTGTATCACAGCTGCTCTTTAGTCTTGGTCAGTGTCATCTTGATAGTAGTCTCTTCTTTCTTTTTTTCTCTGTGAATTGAGGTTGATTTTTTGAGTAATTTCATATTATATTCTGGACATTTTACATATTGTTAAATAAGACACTGGTTCCAATTTAAGTTCTATGGGAGATGTTCATGGTTTTGTTTTTGCATGCTGTGTACTGCTCATTAGTTTCAGGCTACAAATTCCAACCTATCTTTTGTGGTTGGAATTGATCTAATGTCAGCTCAGTTTTAAAGTCCTTAGGGTTTCCTGGATCCTCTTTTTTTGCTCCTCTGCCTAAAAAGGAAGGACTTCTGCGTTTCCATTTTTCTGTGTACTTCTTTAGTTTTCCTAAGTCCTGGGCTTAGCAGTGGAAGGACAAGAAAGTAAAGAGAGCGATGGCCATCAGTCTGACACTACCAAACAGAGGGACGAGTCCTTTGCTTCTGAGTGTTGGCTTCTGTGTGCTACTGTTTCAGGCACTGAGATGTAAGAGAATAAAGAAGTAAGAGTTAAAAATGTTAGAGTGTTCTACCTTCTCTCTATTTTAGGAGATTCCCTCTTTCTCTCCCCTTTCTGCTCCCTCTAGTCTGAACTCCAGTGCCTACTTCCAGGTTTCTGGTGCATCGAGTTCAGGCTGCAGGATCATGGGGGAGGCAAAATGGTAAATTCACTGATATTGGATGTTATTTTAAATCTGGCCTTTCTCCCCACATCTCCTGCTGTTTGCTTTGAAGTCTTCATATCTCTGTTCCTGGCATTCTGTCTAGGCTACATTCAGTAGAAGAGACTTGGTAGCATGTATTATTCCGTCTGACTTGGAACTGGAACACCTGATTAGACTTATTTACTTAATTTTTTTATTGTACGAATAACGTGTAGGACCTAAGGCTTATTTTTCCTTTGTTGTCAGTGACAATATATGAAGTGTACGTGGCGACAGGTGAGCTGTGGAATGCTGGCACTGTAGCAAATGTCTACATTTCTATCTATGGGAAAAAAGGAGATACAGGATCCAGACAACTGTTTAGATCGAAGAGCTCCTTTAATTTTTTAAGAGGACAAGTAAGTAAACAGAGAAAAAGTGTTTTGTTTGATTTTTAAAAAAGTTTACTTCTGGTGAAAATCACATAAAATAAATTTACCATTTTAATAGTTTTTAAGTGTATTTAAATACATTTTAAAGTACACAGTTCAATGGTGTTAGGTATATTCACACTGTTGTGGAACAAATCTCATTTTCTTCATCTTTGAAAACTGGATCTGCAAGGATATGTCCAAAAATATGAAAAAAATGTGAAAAAATGTAATTAAAGTACAAGTTTATTTTTGTGCAGAAAATTTTGAAATCTGTGCATAGTTTTTTCATAATATGCATTTACCATGAGCTTTTTGGAGTCCCTTCATATTAAACATCTTAAAGTTATGATAATATATTTTAGAGTTATAACCTTAATTTCATAAAAAATGATTTTTTTAACATCTCCACACTCCACGTTATATTATTAATGTCAGAAAAAGTGGATTTATGCACCAAAATTACAATAATGCAATTTTGTGTGTTTGTCTGGATAGCTCCTTTTACCAAAACTTTATATTTTTGTATGCTGTATGTTGCTGTCTAGTGTCCTGTTCTTTCTTTCTTTCTTTCTTTTTTTTTTAGACGTTTTTGCTATAGGGCGCGTTTGCTTGCCAGACAGACAGAGACAGAGAGATAGAAAACGAGAAATCACCCCCAAGGGGGGATGACCACGCTGCAATCCCTTCTCCTTCATTCTCCTCTTGGGATCTTGGGCACGCACGCACACGTGCCTGGTGTGAGTTTAAGCCACTGGGTCCAGGACTCGAACCGCTGTCGACTATGTGGGAGTCCAGCAACATAGCCATTACGCTAACTGCTGGTCCCAAGTGTCCTGTTCTTTCAACATGAAGAACTCACTTTAGCATTTCTTGTAGTGTAGGTCCATCAGTATAACTACTTTTGTTTTTCTGGCAAAATCTTTTTTTTTTTTTTTTTAAAGAAGCATTTTATTTCACTTTATTTATTATTATTATTTTTATTTTTCCAGAGATAGAGAGAGAGAGAGAGAGAGAGAGAGAGAGAGAGCCTCCAGGTCCAAGACCTGAACCATGGTTGGGCGTGTGGGAATCCAGTGCCCTTAACCACCATGCCATCTGCTGGCCCCTGTAGCAAAATTTTTCCAGAAAGGAAAAGTCTTAATTTTTCCTTCATTTTTGATAGACAATTTTGCCTAATGTAGAATTCTTGGCTGTCCGCTTTTGTTTTGTTTTGTTTTGTTGTTTTCTTCTTTTAGTACCGTGAATAATTTATCCCACTGCCTTATAGCCTGCCTGGTTTGTGCCTAGATCCACTCATAATCTTTTCGAATCTCCCATGTACATGATGAGTTTTTCTCTTGCTGTTTTTAAGACTCTCTTTGTTTTTGAGATTTGACAGCTTGACGTTAATGTGTTTCAGGGTGGATTTCTTTTGGTTTATCTTGGAATTTGTTGAGCTTCTTGACTTTATATGTACATTTTACTCCTCAGATTTTGGGTTTTGTTCATCGTTTTTTCAGAAAGCTTTTCTTGTCCTTTCACCTTCTTAAATTCTCCTGATGCATGTACTGGTCCTCTTGATGATGTCCCAGCATGTATTATCTTCTCTCTTCACTTACTGTTTTTTTCTTGTTGCTCTTTTGTCTTGATGATTTGAAATATCCTTCCTTTAAATTAGCTAATTCTTTGGCCTTATCAAGCCTGATATTGAACCTCTCTGGTGAAATTTTCAGTGCAGTAGCTGTGTTTATCAGATCTGCAATTTGTTGTAATTTCTCTCTTGTTGTCAATAGTTTCATTTTGTCATTTTTGATGTTCTTAATTGTGCTTAGTGTTCTGTCCGTATTCTCATTTAGCATCTTTGAATATTTATCCAGATATTTAGAGATGTGCATTATTTAGGATTGGTTAATGAAGGAACTGTTTTTCCTTGGTTTGGGTCATGTTTTTCTCTTTCTGTATAGGCCTTGTGATCGTTAGTTTAAATTTGGGTATTTGCAAAAACAACCACTGCCACAATCATTTTGCACTGGCTTCCAGGGGCAAAGGTGCAGGAATCAGCCCAGGTAGAGGTTTGGAACCTCTTACGGCTTTTTTGGTGACATGTCTTCTCCGAGCATGTCTGTGCTTTTACCTATCTTAATTTCCTTAAGTACTTGAGCCTGTTTCTCACCTGGAGCCTTTAATCTGTCCCTCGTTCCCCCTGTCATCTGCCTGGTCTCCTGAAGAACTTTTGTAGCTCTAGTAAATCCCATGGCTGACCTCTATTTCCTGGGCCTCTGAACAATGCTTGTCCTGTCTTCACTGCAACTTAGCGGTTAGGGGAGACAAACCAGCCTCTTGGGCAGCCTCCCCACAAGTCAGAATTTTGGATGCACAGTCCACTCTTTGGTCTCTATCCAGAGGGATGATCTGCCATGTGTGAGGTCCCCAAATGGTGCACTTCTCTATGCTGGGTTGGTAGTCATGGCACACGAAGTGCCTGTGATTTTCCTGCCCTTTCCAGATGGAGATTCCTCTTGGTTATGCCTGGGTGCTGCAGCTTCTAACTGTTCCCTAGAGTTCCCAAAGTATTCTAATCTTGATATTACTGTTAACTTGTGTCGTGTCTGTGTGAAGGGGTACAAGGAGCTCCCTAGTCTGCCATCTTGCTGATGTCTCTCATCCTTTTCTTGATTTTTTTAACCTTAGACTGTTACATGTGGATATATAATAATTTTCACTGCTGAATGTAGAAATTGAATGCAGTGCATTATTTTACCATTACTAATGTTGATATTACTATAATCGTTAAAGTTTTTTCTTTCTTTCTTTTCTTTTTTAACCGAGTAAAACTTCCCTTGTGGCTCAGCCCCCATCAGGTAGCCCTCCCACTTGCTTCTTTTTATCTTTTGCCAGAAGGTGTGTGTGTGTATGCAGGAGAGTGGGGGAGAGAGTCTATTATTGCTGCAGTCCTTTCACTGCAGTTCTCCCTCCTGTCAGCATCAGAATTATAGTCCAGGTCTAATTAAACTTTTTCATTGGTTCCAGACGGACACCTTCTTTCTGGAAGCTGTGCACCTTGGAGATTTATACAAGATTGTGATAGGCCATGACGGGCTTGGCCCAGGTAAGGCTCTTCCAGAGGTAACAAAGGTCTGATTTCATTGGGTCGATGTGAAATCCTGAACAAATCTAGGAAACCTGGAAAACGTGTAGAAAACTGATCTCTCTCTATTGACTGTCTGAAATCAAAATGCAAATTACTAATACTGTCCCAAGTGTCCTTTAAAATTTCACTAGATATATTTTTCTTCAAAGTGATGTAGATTTGGCTATGTGGATGCCCTAGGATGGGCCTAAGAGGCTAAGAAAAGTAATAAAAAAGAGGGAATTTGGATTTTATGTTGTAGCATGTGGCAGCATTTCAGCATGCCAGTGGTAGAGGCAGCATTGGTGTCTCCTAGTGGTGATTTTCTAGCAGTGGCACCTTAAGGAGCCTGTCCAGGCAACAAGATCTGAGCTGTACTTTCTACTGCCATTTTGCTCAGGTTTCTCTTCCAGTTTTTCCATCAGCTCTGTGAGAAAACTCACATCTTCCCAACAAATTTATTTTCTGCTACTGTGTAAAACAACCATAAGATAAACACAATTCATTTAGCAAAAGACAGAGTGATAGGGGCCAGTAGGTGGCATGACAGTTGAAGGTGCTGGCTCTCCCATTGCCAGCTGTGGTTCAAGTTCTGGACTTAACTGCTAAAAAATCAGGCTAGGCGCATGTGTCTGTGTGCCCCAAATCCTGAGAGGAGAATAGTGAAGGGATTGTGGTATGGCCATCCTCCCCGAGGGAGTAATTCCTCACTTTGCCTCTCTCTGTTTCACTCTGCTTCTCTTTGTCTCTCTTAGGCAAGTGCATGTGGCCTAGGTCAAAAACCTACCTACTTACCTACATATGTACATACATACATACATATATACATACATATAGTGATAAAGGCATACCAAAAACAGAGTTGAAAAACCACAAAGCATCAAACAAGATGATAAACTTTCTTTCTTTTTTTTTTTTTAGAAGTTTTTGCTACAGGGTGCATGTGCTCGCCAGAAAGACAGAGAGAGAAAGCGAGAAATCACCCCCCCGGGGGGATGGCCACGCCACAATCTCTTCTCCATTCTTCTCTCGGGATCTTGGGCATGCACACACACACTCCTGGCGTGAGTTTAAGGCACTGGATTCGGGACTCAAATCATGGTTGGCTACTTGGGAGTCCAGTGACATAGCCATTTCACCAACTGCTGGTTGCGGTAAACTTTCTTACCGAAAAGGGTCAAGGTATAATTTTCACAATTTTAAGAATAAAGTTCTCATATGAATACATAGTGATCATGTATTTAATTAATATGCTGACAAAGTTTTTTCAAAAGAAATGACAAGAAACTGAAAAATAAAGACATAATTAGTGAAAACAAAGAGAATAATAAGATTGATAAATTAAAATATATGACCAGTGTCCTATAGACAAAATTATGCCTCTGAAGTTATCTCCTCTCTTGGACAAAATTAATTTATATTTTGACCAGTCACCCTTCTTATTTTTTGTGAGTTGATATCTAACTTTACAGAGCCCTGGCCCAAATTCATAGTAAATATTAAGTCAAATAGTACTCCACTGTCACAGTGTAGCAGATGCCTCCCAGACAAGCTTGCTAGATATTATTCTAGTGTTTTAAAATAAATGACCCAGTATTATTAAAAACAAAAGTTTAGGTAGTGATATATCAGGAATATGTAAAGAAAAAGGAAAAATGGATTAAGTTTTAATAGTATTATAAGATAAAGTAAAATTCAAGGCAAAAAGCATGAAAAGATTTAAGGAGGTTAATTTTCCTTTGATGAAGTTTATTATTTATAATGAGATTATAACATTCATGAACTTTTATTCACTAGATAATACTTCAAAAAGATAAATACAGTAAAATCCTCTTAGTCAAGAAGAAATGTAAAGAAGGTAGGATAGAATTTTATCATGTCTTAGATTTTGGCAGATCAGTTAAATACTTTAATTATAGTCATCCTCCCTTACCTACAGTTTTGCTTGCCTGTGACTTAACTATGGTCTGAAGCTCTTAAATGGAAAATTCCAGAAATAAACAATGTAAGTCTTACGTTGAATTCCATTCTAACTAGTATGATAAAATCTTGTACCATCCTACTCTATCCCTCCCGGGATGTGAATCATCCCTTTGTCCGGCATATCCATGCTGGAGAAGGGGATGTTATACACTGCCGACCCGTTAGCGTTACACTTAGTACCTGCCTTGGTTATCAGATTAAATGTTGTAGTATTGCTCTGCCTGTGCTCAAGTAACTTATTTCACCTTATGGCCCCAAAGGGCAAGAGCTGCGATGCTGGTATTTGATTATCATTGTTCTTTTTTATTAGTAGTTATTGTTAATTTCTTATTGTGCTTAATTTTAAATGAAACTTAATCATGAGCATGTACATATAGGAAAAAACACAGTGTATATAGGGGGTGATACTATCTGTGGCTTTAAGCATACATTGGGTGTCTTACAACCATCCCCCACTATAGTTAAGGAAGGACTTCTGTATTTCCCTCCAGTGTTTGTATTATATAGTCAGGGAATTACCTTTATTTCAAAGCTTCATGAAACATTTTAAAATTTGTTTAGTGTATTAGACCAAAAAGAAAATCTCATAAATTTTCCCAAACAGGCCATGTTCTCTGACCTCAATGTAATGAAACTAAAATTTAATAAAAAAGATGAAAGTTAAAAAAATCATTTAGGATTTTTGGTCTTCTCCATGATTTTAGGGCAAAATTAAACTCATAATTGTAACTATAATCTAACAGAATGTTACAATGGTATTTTTCTGTCTCTTTTTTTTTTTTTTCTTTTTGGCTGGAACCTCAGGAGACCAGAATATAATAATGGCAAAGTAGGGACTTGCCATTTCTCTTATTCTATTCCAGGCTGCTATAGCTAGATACCTTGGACTAGATAATTTAAAAATAAGAGAAATTTACCTCTTGTAGTTTTGGAGGGAAGGAAGAAAGATCAAACTGCTGGCATTCAGTATTTGCTGAGGGCCTTCTTGATGTCTTCACAAATATAGACACAAAGCCATATATTCAGAACTTGTAGAGGCAAGGGCAGAAAACTAGTAAAGAGTCTTACTGCTGAGTATAAAAGGTGTGGGGAGTGGGTTTTTGTTAAAGTGGGTTAGCAGTTGTGGGATACCTGTGTGTCAGCCCTCAGTGTATCTATATACCAACCCCCATCAACCTATGTAGAAGTTCTTTCAACATAAAGAAACCACTTGAAGAATCTGAGCCACCTAGAATTTGTTTGATGACTCCCACTTGAATAATGGTCCTTACGCTGCCTTACTGGTCTTGTAGCTAGAAAGGAATGCAAGCCTGGAGAGTAGTCAGAGTAGAACCTTAGGCAGATAAACAGGGAAGACACTAAGGGAAATGAGCCGTAGAAAAAGAGGATCCCTACCTAACCCACCAAATGCTTCATAAAGAGTCTGCTTGTTGGGACCAGCAGTTAGTGTAATGGCTATGTCGCTGGACTCCCATGTAGTCAACCGCGGTTTGTGTCCCAGACCTGGTGACTTAAACTCACACTGGGCGCATGTGCGTGTGTGTCCAAGATCCCGAGAGGAGAATGGAGGAGAAGGGATTGTGGCATGGCCATCCCCCCCGGGTGGGGGGTGATTTCTCGCTTTCAGTCTCTCTGTCTCTCTTTGTCTGTCTGGCAAGGTTTTTTGTGAGAGTGGAGTGCACCATAAACAAAAAAAAAAAAAAAAAAAAAAAAAAAACAAACAAACAAAAAAAACACTTCTCAAAAAAAAAAAAAAGTCTCTGCTTGTTGATATTCTCTGTAGCAGGAGTCCCCAGCCTCTGGGCTGTGGACTAGTGCCAGTTCTGGGGTTTGGCTGCTGACTGGCACTGATCTGCAGGGCTATACGGTAGTAAGTGGGCAGTGGGTGAGTGAGTTAGACCTGGTCTGTGTTTGCAGCCATTCCCTATTGCTCACATTACCACCTGGGTTCCACTTCCTGTCAGATGGGTGGCCGTATTGGATTCTCATGGGAGAGTGTGCCCTACCGTTGTGTGATTGTTTCATTGAAATGGGGTGCACAGGGTATGTAGAGTGCTTGAGTAATCTTGGGACCAACCTCCCACTCTGCCACTCATCCTTGGAGGGATTGTCTTCCATCAAGCTGATACATTGTGTTAGGCTGAGGATCCCTGCTCTACAGTATTTTTTATTTCCTGTATTGTATTCTTCATCTCCAGGATTTCTATTTGATTTTCTTTTTTTGGGTGCCTATCACTCTACCGAATCCTTATACATGAGTGCTTTTCTCATCTTCTGGAGTTTTTGTATCCTCTTGCACATCATCGAATCTTGTCATGATCAATATACTGAGATCCTTTTCTGACAGTTCTGTGATTTCCTGAATTTGTCCATTGTTACTGGGGGATTATTGCATTTCCTTTGAGAAGAAGTGTTTCCTTGTCTTTTCATATTTCTTATGTCCCTGCTTTGAAATTTAGACATCTGGTAGAGAACTTACTTCTTCCTGTAAAAGGATGACTTTGTGCCAGTAAGAGCTACTGCCCTGTGGGGTATCTGCACATGAACTCTATGTAGTGCATGAGGATTTTTGCCCAGACAAGGTAACTGAGTGAATCTAATAGCTGGAAACAGATAATATCCTCTGTCTTTAATGAGTTGCACACAAGCAGGATGTTGATCCTGGTTGAGGAGTTGTGGCTAGGTGGTTTGTTAAAGGGAGGGATGAGTGCTGTTGTTGGTGCAGACAGAGGTTATGGGCAGTCCTGTGTGATGTTAGATAGTGGGTGGGGTCTCTGTGTGGGTTTTTGTGGCACAAGTGGGTGGGAAATGTCTCTGGGAAAGCTTTTATATTGTAGACAGGTGGCAGTGTCTCTGAGCAGGCTTCCAGGGTGCTAGTAGGGGCCAGACAGAGTGTCACGGTGGGCCTTTGTAGTGCTAGCATGGCTACAGGAGTTCTTTGGGTGGACTTCTGGGGGGTACTAGCAGGGCCCACTGGGGGCGTGGAGATACTCTAG